AAATAATTTCAGTCCATTCAGACCATTATTTCAAAATATCACAGGTCTCAATATCCAGCTTTTCAATTTCTTCAAAGTATTTCTGGCCTTATCCCTATAAATTCAGATATTTAAAATATGCTCTCTGGTCCTCTCCTTTTGCTTCACATTGTATATATCCAGGTCCAAGCACTTCCAAAGAGTAACCTTCACATAAATAAAACATCAAAAGGATCCTGGCTAATGGCTGGTACAGTTTGAGTCCCCCTTGTCCAGAAATCTGCAATACTCCAAAAACCTATAGTTTTGATTCCAGCTGCACACTTTGACATTTTGGGAAAGCGGGCTAGTTACATGTTCAAGAAGCGCACTTACACAAGGTCCCTGTAAAAAGCAGGCACCTCAGATGCTTCTGTGCCCACTTTCAATCTGTCCAATAGAAGCACATGGCAGGGCAGAAGCTCTGGAGATGGGCTATGAGGAGAGTGCACAGTGACTCTATAGGATGCCACTTCTATCCATCCGAGAAAAAATAAAAAGATTTATGGGGGTAATTTCTAGGGCTGGGTAACCACGGAAAAAATTGTTTCTAAACTCGATTCGTTTTCAGGGAGCGCTAGCGTTTCTAAATTCTAAAGAATTCCGAAATTTGAGATTTCAAAGTTTCGTTATTTACAAAATTTCGTTATTTACGAAATTTCATTAATAATAATTACTAATCGATTCGTATTGGCGGACGCGATTACGCAATACGATAAAAAACCCTCCAAATGGGGCAGGGGGAACTTCTGAAGCTTCCCTCTCCCTCTGTTGTTGACTGTTGGTGTGATAATTTATTTTTTATCACTGATAAAACAAACAACAACTATAAAACTTGCACCAGACATATGGAAATAACTACGAAACAATTACGAAACAATTTCGAAACAATTACGAAACAATTACGAAATAAATTGAAAAATTGTTTCGATTCTTAAATAATTAATTAAGTACTCCTGCATGGCTCAATATTGGATCGTAGCTAATTTAAATACGAATTATTAACGAATTACGAAATTAACGAATGAAATTGCCCAGCCCTAGTAATTTCCCTTTTTTGCCTTTCTTAAAAGGCCTGTGTATAAGTAGGATCCTCCCTCGTTCCTTCTCTTCTCCTATCCCCATCAAGACTCCTTGGGGAAAAGCTCAGTTGGTGCTGGACATCTGACTAGGTCCCTTTCCTCCCATCCCGCATTCACTATGTATATGTAAGTACAGGTATTCCAAAGTCTGAAAAAATCTAAAATTGAAAAAACCCTCTGATCTGAAGCATTTTGGATAAGGGAAATTCAAACTGTAGAATGAGGTCCTTCATTACCTTTCACTGTATTTATTTATTTATTCATTCATTCATTTACAGTATTTCTATTCCACCCTTCTCACTCTGAAGGAAATTCATGGTGGATCACATTGCAGACATACACAGCAAACATTCAATCCCATTTTAGACATACAAGACATACAGACAGATAGAGGTCATTCAGCAGTTTTTTCCAACTTCTGATCCTGAAGGTTGCTCGATTCCAGCCACACGGGGGAGCTTCATTTCATCCACTATCATGCTGAACCTTTTTGAGTTTAGTATTTCCATCTTGCTCTTTGATATCTGGCATTTTTATGGCGTCATAAATTAACCTCCCTGCTTTAAGTGGTACCTAATTTCTCTACTCACAGCACAGCTGTTTTTGAACTGCTTAGGTGAACAGTAAGCTGGGCTATTAACAGTCAGAAGCTCAACCCTGCCTCAGGATTTGTACTTACCACCTTCTGGTCGACAGTGATTTATTGCTGCTGGTGATTAACTAACTGTACTACAGCTCGGCCAACATCAATTCACGTTCTGTAGTGTTTAGCTTCAACCCCACCCCCATAACATAATCCATGTGGCATAAATCAATCATGGAGGAATGTTACCTTTTCTTTTGCAACAGTAAACCATTCCGTAAGGATGGCACAATGCCCTTGATGCCACATATTCATCTTCAGCGCAGTTATGCCTGCAGTTTCCTCGACAATCAAATACTGTTACAGCTTCATTACCTTTAAAGGGAACAAAGAAGTTAATCCAATTCCTGCAGAAGTGAAGATTCAAACAACAAAAGCATTTTCTATCCAGCGAAAGCCATCCATTGTGTTTCTCACTAACTACAGAAAGAAGAGTTTAATTTCTCACCATATGGCTCTGCAAAGGACTCTGGTGCCTCACAAAACTACTAAACCAATGATTCCATTGCATAGAGCCATTGCGATTAGGTTGTTGTTGTTTTTGTTGTTGTTGTAAAGAAATGTTGAGATGAATTAATTCTGTAGCGGCACCGTATAAGACAAATCTCATTTTTCCAATCTCAGAAGGAAGCAATGGCCAATGATCTCTGTGCCAAGAGAGTTATGTCACATTCAGCTCAGGAATGGAAAAAGAAATGTTGGTGGACAGCAAAAGAAATGTAATGATGGGCCTAAAGATAATCTTAAAATGTGGAACAAACACTCAGAACTGGAAAGCCCTGGTACTCGAGCACTCTAACTGAAGATCAACTGTTACCAACAATGCTATGGATTTTGAAAAGGCATGAATAGAGAGCAAAAGGGAGAGACATGCCAAGAGGAAGGCACATCAAGCAAACTCTTATCCTGACTGCCTTTCACCTGAAAAGTTTATGTCTTCATTGTAAAAGACCATGCAGATCTGGAATAGGTCTCCACAGTCTCTTGCTGACCCACTACCAAGACCCTACCCTTAGAAAACAATCATACTCAGCCATGTATGATCGCCTATGATGAAGATGACAACTTCCATGGATATTCCAATCAAAATAATAGCACGGGACCAGGAAGGAATGTTTACCTGATTGTGTGCAGTACAAAACAAACAAGAATAAAACATTATAAAAGTATGACTCCCAAGACTCCATGGTGTTGAGCCATGGCCATTCAAATGTTGTCAAACTGCATTCCTTCTTCAATGTTGATATACCCCCCAAAATGAAATTTTGCAACACAGAGATAGTGTGTTGCAATACTATAGCAGACATACCTGAATGATATTCATAAACATGTTGCTTTGCATATGTACATATACATATACCCCTGCACAGGCATGTAGCCAGGGGGGGGCTCGGGGGGCTTCAGCCCCCCCCCGAAATTTTCATGGTGGTTCGCGAAAAGGCCTTAATGGTGCATTATTTAAACTGTTATGTTTATTCATATCATGATCTGATCACCATACTCAATATATCCCATATGCATGGGGGTATTGGGGTAATGATACAAAAGGTTTGCTAGGCTAGACCCTCTTTCACTCAGACTCAGCCCCCCCCCCCGAAACTCAGCCCCCCCCCCCGAACCCCTGAAAAAAATTCAGCCCCCCCCCCCGAAACGAAATCCTGGCTACAGGCCTGGTGGCAGAGTTTTGGGTGGGCACAGATTTTTACTGACAGAGTTTTGGGACAGGTGATTCTACATCTATTTGGCCAGAGGGGTCAAAGTAGACACCTGTGGGCTTGTGTTGGATTGAGGACACAAGTGTTCTACTCTCTGAAGTTTAGCTGGTAGTGAACTCTGTTAAGAGGGAAGCTATTTACTCTGGGGACAACCGGGTTTGGTTTGTCTGAGGGACTCACTGCTACTGGACCAGGGTAGAGTGAGGGATCTAGCTCACGTTTAAGTTCAGAAACCTATTCTAGTAACCACTAAGATTATTGTGCTCTGTAACCATTTAAGCTTGTGTGTCTCGTTAAGAAGACAGTTGTTTGTTTCAAATATCTTAATAAAATTATTATCTAGTTCACTGTTTAAACAGCCTCAGCAGTTATTCATTCTATTAGGATATTTCCAGTGAATTTTAACATCCTTACAATTCAGTCACTTTGAAGAGAGCCGAAGGGTGGGTTGGTGGATAAGAAGATTTACCTCAGGGACAACAACATCTTTAGTATTCCCAAAACTTCTTTGGGTGGTGGTAGCAACTACAATCAGTCTATATACATTACCTCATCAATCTTTTAAGCACTCCATGCCAAGAAAGATATCCCCACCAGATCGGGGGTTGTGGGATTTGTAGTATTTTGAGATCTCTTCCCCTGTATGCATGATGATTTCGTTATAAAAGGCCTACTAAACTAATCAAGAAACTGAAATGTTAAATATTTCTATTGATGGCTAGTAATTGGCAGAGGGTTTCTGGGATTGTATTTCATCAAGAAAACTTTTACCCTGCTTATGTATAGTTGGATTGATTGGTTATTTATTGTTGTTTGCATCAGTTAAATTGCTTTCTCAAGCTCAATTCTTTGGCTCCACCTCTTCCTGGAGGAGGGGAGTGCTTCCCTTTTTTCTTTCTGCCATCAGAGTTTCTATCAGATGGACATGAGTAAGAGACTTGGCTCTAAATAGCCCCTGATTAAATTACCTCTCAGCACCAATTCTAAGGTTTTTAACTCTTGGGACTCATGCTTTATGTCCAGATCGTCCTGGACAACATTAAGGAGACCCAAGTGCCTTCAAACCGGTTCTTTTGGCACCAGAGGAAGGTCTTGTCCCTTCAACATAGGCCATTGGACTGGAGTTGTGTTTATTCCTATATTCACAGCCATTGAGGAAAGAGGAAACAGGAAGAGCTTCTCAGCTGCAAACTCCTTGGACTTCAGAGATTGTAAAGTATATTTCCTTTATCCCTGTTGAAACATCAAGCTTATGCCTGAGAAAGATAACTCATTGTGAACAATAAATACCATTTCGAGTTATCTGTTGTGTTTTAGTCTTTGGGAGTTTCAGTTTCCTATAGGAGGGCAAGAAGCAATCCCCTGGAGAAAGATGCCATGTCCATGCCTCTTTCACTAAGAGTTATAGCCCCCAGGCACTACGGCACACAGGACATATTTACTTGTCTTTTGGACTGCGCACAACTATATGGGGACGCCATGCCATTAGGTGCACTGAACAAGGCTTTGTTTAAAAATTAGACCCATGCACAAGCCTAGAAATTAGGGACAACAAATTAGGTTTTATTAGCAGCAGGATATCACAGCATTGTTATAAGATGTTGAATTCATGGAGGGCATTTTGGCAGCTCCAAGTTTCTTCTGAATCATTGCTCACATATGCTTCAACTTGCTGCTGAAACAGCATCTATCCTTTAGGCGCATCTACAATATAGAGAAGATTATTACAGTCTGTTTACAACAGAGACATATTGTTTACAAAATCAGACAAAAGTTGTAGCCTTATATTCATCATCTACCCAGATGAGCTTACAAGATCCTCAGCAACGTATTTGCATTGCTCTAACTGTGGGTGGGAACATATTACCAAAATCTAAATTAAAGGAAGATATCAGTAACATCCCTAAACATTCCTACTTTCCACATCCTCTAAAAAAACTTTCAGTCTCTCAAGACCACTATTCCAAAATATTACAGGTCTCAATATCCAGCTTTTCAATTTCTTCAAAGTATTTCTGTGCTTTTAAATTCAGATATTAAAAATATCTGAATATCTCCTCTTGCTTTGCATTGTATATATCCAGGTCCAAGCACTTCCAGAGAGTAACCTACACATTCATAGAACGTCAACAGGATTCTGGCTAATGGTTGGTACAGGTTGAGTCTCTCTTGTCCAGAAATCTGCAATACTCCAAAAACCTATACTTTTTACTGCCAACTGCAGACTTTGGCATTTTGGGAAAGTGGGTTAGTCACATGTCCAAGGAGCCCACTTACACAAGGTCCCTGTAAAAGGCAGAGACTTCAGATGCTTCTGAGCCCACCTTCAGTCTGTCCAATGGTGGCACATGGCCAGGTAGAAGCTCTGGACATGGGCCATGAGGAAGAGTGACAGTGACTCTATAGGATGCCACCTCTATCCATCCGAGAAAAAATTTAAAAAGATTTATGGGGGTATTTTCCCATTTTTCGCCTTTCTTAAAAGACCTGTTGTAACAAAAGGGAGGCCACCAGTTTGTGTAAAGAAGCATGCACCTATGTGCAGTCCTCTGTCAACACTTTAATATCTGAATTGCTATGAGTGTTATAAAGCAGAAGCCTCTTGGCTTGGAATCACAGGCTTGAGTCTCTCTTGTATGAAACAAAGTATCAACGTTTATTCAAACATTCCAAGCTCCAAACGATTGTGGTTACAATTACTATTTTTGTTGCGAACTTGAGTTACAGTCATGTATAATATACTTGGTGCACGTTCCTTTTAAACTCTTGACTGGATAATATTGTAACTTAAGCCACACTGGCTATAACTTATTCTCTGATTCCCCACTGTTTCTCTCTCTCGGACAGGGTTAACTTCTTCTCTTCACACAGATTCCTAACCGTTCCCAAACAGCTTTTCCTTAACTAATTTCACAAGCAGCCATTCTCAACTAACTGTCTAACGGAGATTCCTCACTGTCTCCCTCAGACAGTGTTTCTTAACTTCTTCTTTTAGGCAGAGATTCCCAACTCTCCTTTTCTTAAACAGGAAGTCCTAATTACTTCAATAACAGAAGTTCCTGACTTCTTTTCTCACACAGAGATCCCTAACACATTTTCTTAACTGCTTATTTCTCAAACTCTGTTCCCAACTCTCATTTTCTAAACTCTCTACTCTAACTGCCTCTTTTTTTAAACTTAACTCCGCCCCTTTAGAACGTTCGGCTCTGCTCTTCCCAACTCCTGGGCATACACTAATTTGCATAGGACCAATCGGCCTCCATATGCAAATGATCTTGTCTGCTGTTGCTATACTACTTGTCTCTAATCATCCCTATCTGGCCCCTGCAAACATAGATCTATACACTAAAATTTTCACACAGAGTAACAAATTCGCTACACCTGTGTATAAGCAGGATACTCCCTCGTTCCTTTTCTCCTCCTATTCCCATCAAGACTCCTTGGGGAAAGGCTCAGTTGGTGCTGGACATCTGACTAGGTGCCTTTCCTCCCATCCCTCATTCACTATTTATATGTAAGTACAGGTATTCCAAAGTCTGAAAAAAAATCTAAAATTTTAAGAAACCTCTGATCTGAAGCTCTTTGGATAAGGGAAACTGAAATTGCAATGTGAGGTCCTTCATTGCTTTTCACTGTATTTATTTATTTATTTATTTATTTATTTATTTATTTACAGTATTTATGTTCCGCACTTCTCACCCTGAAGGGGACTCAGGGTCGATCACAATGCACACATACACAGCAAACATGCCATCCCGTTTTTAGACATACAGACAGATAGAGGTCATTCAGCAAGTTTTCCAACTTTGGATCCTGGAGGTTGCTCGATTCCGGTCACACGGGGGAGCTTTGCTTCATCCACTATGACGTTGAGCCTTTTTGAACCTAGTATTTCCATCTTGCTCTTTGATGTCTGGCATTTTTATGGTGCCATAAATTAACCTCCCTAATTTCTACACTCACAGCACAGCTGTTTTTGAACTTCTTAGGTGGACAGTAAGCTGGGCTTTTAACAGACGGGAGCTCAACCCCACCTCAGGCTTTGAACTTACCACCTTCCAGTCAGCAGTGATTTATTGCAGCTAGTGATTAAGCTGCAGTACTACAGCCCGGCCCACATCTATTCACCTTCTGTATGCTTAGCTTCAACCCCACCCCATAACATAATCCATGTGGCACACATCAATCATGGAGGAATGTTACCTTTTCTTTTGCAGCAGTAAACCATTCCTTTATGGCACATTGCCTTTGAAGCCTCATATTCATTTTTAGCACAGTTCTGCTTGCACTTTCCTAAACACTTCTTTCCATCATTAAATGGTTTTGCAGCTTCATTACCTTTAAAGGGAAAAAAGAAGTTAATCCAATCCCTGCAAAAGTGAAGATTCAAACAACAAAAGCATTTTCTGTCCAGCAAATGTCATCCATTGCAATTCTCACTACAGAAAGAAGAGTTTAATTTCTCACCATATGGCTCTGCAAAGGATTCTGGTGTCTCACCAAACGACAACATCAGTGATTCCATAGCAAAAAATTGTTGTTGTTGTTGATTTTTTGTTGTTGTTGTAAATTAGTGTTGAGATTGATTAATTCTGTAGCTGTACCCTATAAGGCAAGTCTTATTCTCCATGGCTATCATGTCTCCTCTCAGCCTTCTCTTCTTCATGCTAAACATGCCCAGCTCTTTAAGCTGCTCCTCATAGGGTTTGTTTGTTCTCCAGACCTTTGATCATTTTAGTTACCCTTCTCTGGACACATTTCAGCTTAATAATATCTCTCTTCAATTGTGGTGCCCAGACCTGGACACAATATTCCATGCCAAGATGAAGGCACATCAAGCAAACCCGTATCCTGACTGCCTTCGACCTGAAAAGTTTATGTCTTCATTGTGAAAGACCATGCATATACAGAATAGGTCTCACTCTCCACAGTCTCTTACAGACCCACTACCAAGACCCAGAGGCAGCCCAGGTAATTTTCAACTGTAAGCAAACAGTATTTTGCCCCCCCCGCCCCCAACCAATCACTGATATATATTTTCTGGTCATCATGGGAGTTCTGTGTGCCATATTTGGTTCAATTCCATCCTTGGTGGAGTTCAGAATGCTCTGTGTTCTGTCACGCATTGGGTCTAAACAAATTGTCTTTATTCTATAGGACGTATACTTTAAACCCACTGGGAAGCCGGGGTGCCTCAAAGAGAGATTCTTGGGGATTTCCTGAAGTGATGGTCTTTGGAGTCTTTAATGGTACAACAAAGTCTTTATTAAGGAACAAATAACAAATCTTCAAACAACACTTCAAGGCTTTCTTATTCTAGTCTTTAAGAGACTGGCACTGGCTCGGATTAACTGTACTTTCTCAGCATGAGGAAGAACCCTTTATAATCTCTCCCAAGCTGTCTATCATCTGGGCCTCGCTGGTCTGGGTCTTACTACCGATCCCAAATGCGTGTGGACATTGAGTAAACCTACCAGCCAAGGCTTGAAGATACTTCAGTTGGAATTCAGTGGTTCTGTAATGCTGTCCTGTGGGAACTTCAGGGCTGTTTTTCCCTTCTGGTGCTGTGAGGCTGAGATTCTGTGAGCTCTCAGCCAGAGCCTTTGGGATCTTTTCCTTCTGTTTTTACTTCCCTGAATGATCCCCAGATGATCACCGGATGGTCCCCGGATAATCTTGAGGAATGAAGCTTTTCCTACGGGACGAGCTGTCTGTGTCCTATAGACTAGCTTCCTTGTGTGTGACTGACTGAAAATGGCTCCCTTCCCACCAAAACACAAAAAGAGGGCGGAACTAAGGAACCTAATGATGATGGACAGGTGGCCTGCCCTATAACTGCAAACTTTAACAGGAAGCCCCCCTTCTGCAGAATCCCAAGCCTTGGACTGGAAGCAAACATTTAATACAAAGCAAATAAAGTGGGAGCTTCTGGTACAGCTGTACCAGCACACTCTGATTTTAGGTGAACTATACATTCCAGTAACTACAACTCACATATGTCAAGGTCTGTTTTCCCCCAAGAGCCCCCCAGGGCAAAATCAACTATACTGCAAATGCTTACTTTGCGTAATGGGTTGAGCCGCCCCTGCCAAGACCCTATCCTTAGAAAACAATCATACTCAGCCATGTGATGAAGAACTTCCATAGAAATCCCAATCAAAATCATAGTACTGGACCAGGAAGGAATGTTTGTGTGATTGCGTGCAGTAAAAAAACAAAAAGGATAAAACGTTATAAAAGTATGATTCCCAAGATTCCATGGTGTTGAGCTATGGCATTCCTTCTTCAATGTTGATATACTCCAAAAATGAAACCTTGCAACACAGAGATAGTGTGCTGCAATACTATAGCAGCAGACATACCTGAATTATATTCATAAACATATTGCTTTGCATACTACCCATACATATACCCCTGCATCTGTTCTGCAGATATTGGCTTGTGGATGAGTAGGAATGATTGACTAATTTCATTCCGTACTCCAGTGGTGCACCCCACAATCTTTTGAAGGGAACTTCCGGTTTCTTCTCCCTGTGTTTTGCTGCCAGCTTTTGTAATTGGGGACAGAGGATGTTTGAAGTGAAGCTGCTGTGTGTGGACAGTAACTAATTTAAGGCATTTCTCCGTATAAAAGAATTAGGTGAGTTTGGGGCACAGAAAAGGAATTGGAAAGTCACATGTGATCCACAGGTTGCAATTTCTCCTACCTCTGCCCAGTATGTGTGTGTGTGTGTGTAGATACACACACCGTTTCAAAAAGCAGCTACTCTACTCCAAATTCAAGAACAGGAAACAGATTGTTGAGCACTCTAACTTGAGGTCAGCTGTGATCAGCAGTGCTGCGGAATTCAAAGAGGCACGAACAGAGGGCAAAAGAGAGAAATGTACCAAGGGAAAGGCACGCCAAGCCAACCCTGACTGGGACCGCCTTCCACCTGGAAGCCGATGTCCTCACTGTGGGAGAAGATGCGGATCAAGAATAGGGCTCCACAGCCACCTACAGACCTACCGCCAAGACACATTCAGAAGACAATCATCCTCAAGCTACGAGGGATCACCTAAGTGTGAAGTAAGTGAAGTGGCCATCTGTCAGGGGTGATTTGAATTCGTGCTTCTTGGCAGGGGGTTGGACTGGATGGCCCATGAGGTCTCTTCCAACTCTATGATTCTATGATTCTATGTGTAGATACAAATATATTTCTCTCTCACCTGGAAAACACAGAAGAATGGAAAAGAACAGGAGAAGACAGAAAGCATTCATGTCTGAGTGTTGTATCCTCCAGAGTCCCAGCAGTCTAATACTAGATAAAAGGAAGAAGTGGGAATACTTTCTTTATATATCATTGGAGGAAAGGAAGTTTCCATAAATTTCCATGGTATACGAAGGACTCAGCGTTCTGTGTATTATGGTTAGGATGTTTAATTGCTGTTAAACACAATTGATTGCTTTTAAATGTTCATACACTGTGTTCCCTTTACAAAACAAAACCACAAACCGATCATTTCTGAAAAGCAGGGTGCTTTGAAATTGGCCAACCTAAACAACCTATAAATATTTCTTTCATCAATAACTAGATCGAAGCTAGAGAGATAGAGAGAATGAATGTTATCCACATAATAATGTAAAGCCGCTTCTGTGACAACTTTAGAGCCAGCGACATCTATGGTGGGAGTGTTCTTGATGCCAACAAGAAAGTTGGTATCCAAAAAGAACAGAATTTTTTTTGGAGGAGGAAAGTATGTTTAAAGAATGCACACAATACAAGCTATTAATAACTTTAATCCCAGTGTTCCTACAAAGGTAAAGGTAAAGCTTTTCCCCTGATATGAAGTCCAACCATGTCCGACTCTGGGGTATGGTGCTCATCTCCATTTCTAAGCCGAAGAGCCGGCGTTGTCCATAGACACCTCCAAGGTCATGTGGCCAGCATGACTGCATGGAGCACCGTTACCTTCCCGCCGGAGTGGCACCTATTGATTTACTACATTTGTATGTTTTTGAAATGCTAAGTTGGCAGAAGCTGGGGCTGACAGAGGAAGCTCACGTCCAAGGTCATGTGGCCATGGGCACGACTGCATGGAGCACCAGTACCTTCCCACCGAAGCAGTACCTATTGATCTACTCACATTTGCATGTTTTCGAAATGCTAGGTTGGCAGAAGCTGCAGCTGTCAGAGGAAGCTCACGCCACTCCCTGGATTCGAACCTGTGACCTTTCGGTCAACAAGCTCAGCAGCTCAGCGCTTTAACCCACTGCGCCACCGGGGCTTAGTTCCTACAAAATGTTCCTTTTAAATGTCTTATTTCATTCTACACACACTTGTCTCCAGGCAAAGTTAAATCTTTCTCAGATGGGTACAAGGTTAACTAGAACGCCTCCTCTTTCTTCTGTTCAGAGGTTTTACATCACTTCTTGAGATCTCCTCCATTTGGAAGGAACTCTACGCTGGAGAACCAACCATCAAGAACACCGGCAAATGGTGCAATTCCTTCAAGAAACACATATTTGCAATACTGTCTGAATCTCACTGCCTGTTTCTGAAAGCAGGTTAACTACTCTAAGCATTTTCTAGGTCCTCCAGAATGGCTCCATTGTATTCTTGGGTCAGAGGGCCTTCATTTCAACTGTTAACTGGTATACAGGATTACACGTATGACCTTACCACATGAGCCAGGCGAATCGTCCTGCTTCGCTGAAGAAACAAAAAACAAAGTAGGGTGAATCCATTGCTCTGTACGCTGCTCCCTCATGGTGATGCTTCTCCCATCACATGTGGGAAGTGTTGCCAGAGCCACAAGGATCTGTTTTGGCTCTATTGGAGCCAGCACAACATGGGCAGGCTACCGTGTTGGGAGGGATGTGTTGTACGATGCTCCCACTCCAATTGTGGGCAGGGCCTCTGCCAGAAGTTCAGCAATGTCATGGAATGGGCAGCATGTCCATCTGTCACTGGACTGCCAGGGAAGCAGCCTAGGACACATCCCAATCCCCATTTGATGAGGTTGATAGTCATTCAATATCTTTCTGGATTTAATTCAGTGTGCTGAAGAAAACAGCATTTAGAGTTCCAAATTGCATGGAACCATGGCACTTGAAGGATGTCACTTCATTGTGAAAATTAGTTGTGGAATAACTTCATCTTGGCAACCCACACACATAGTATGAAAGGCCTACTAATCTAATCAAGCAAATGTTAAATATTTCTATTGATAGCTAGTATTTAGCAAAGGGTTTCTGGGAGTTGTATTTCAATACGAAAACTTTTAACTACTCTAGGCATTTCCTTTGCTGAGATGTTCTCAACCAGGTTGTATAGATAAGTTAAGTAGTTTTTTCCTGTTCTGGATT